GGGGGGGGCCCCCCCCCGCTGCGGGGTGCCGCTTGTGTGCGATGCGGACCCTGCAGGGTGGACACCCCGAAAGCTTCTGGGGGGATCCCCACGTTGCAAGGAGCCGTCCCACCCGCCGGGGGGACGCTGAGCCTGCCCCCCACCGCAGAAGGCCCCGCTCCCTTATCGCCGGCAGCAGGGCCCCCCCGTGCAGGGTGTTGCCCTGCACCCCGGTGTTTTTGGGGTGCTCACGTGCTAGGGAGGGCAGAGCCTGGCCCATGTGCGGTGCACAACAGCAGAGGTGGGGGCCAAAACACTCCGGCCCCGTCGTTCCTCCGCGTTTACCCTCCTCCTGGGGCAGGGGCTGAGTTTCTGAGGTGTCCCGAGTTTCCCCGTTCTCAGCAATGGTCCCTGCAGGGTTAAAGCCCTGCTGCAGGGTGGTGGTTGGGGTTTGGGGTTGGGTGTTTTTTTTTTTTTTTTTTTTTTTTTTCCTGTAGTGGCATCAGCTGCTGGGGCTGGAGGCCTCTCGTTACGGGGTGATTATCTGCTGGCTGCAGCTTTTTTCTCCCCTCGTCACAAGGCCCGTGTGGGCTGCGGGTCACGTGCGCTGGAAAGCCCGAGTCCCAGGAGCAATAGGGGAACATGGCCGCTGGCTCTCGCCTCTCCTTGCATCAGTGTTAACTCCTCCGGCACCGGATCCTGCGCCTGCTCCGGCAGCCCTGCCTGCATCAGGCAGGGGAACAGGCAGAGCAGGCTCGTCCCTGCCGCCTGCCCGTGGTGTTTTGCGGCCGCTCCCAGGCGATGGGACGGATGCTGCCACGTTGAGCCGGGTGGGGGGCAGCGGGAGCGGGGCCGGGGGGGGGGGGGCTGGGGCCCCCTTTTTTTTGTGTTTTTTTTTTTTGGTTGTCAGTCCCCTGTTGGGTGATGCTGAGAGAGGCAGGTCTGTGGCATCCCCTGTGTGGCAGGGTGTGGTGGGAAACCCAGAGGACGGTGATCTGCCGTGCCAGGAGCAAACCGGGGAGGCAGCCATGTCGGCACCTCATTTCAGGGGGTGCAGCCCCGTAGCTCTGGCAGGACCCCCCCAGTCCCCCTGGCCAGCATGGCTCTGCCTCATCGGTCCCCCATTCCTTGGGGCGCCCGTGCTGGGGCTCACCCCCGCCTCTCCCCGCAGTGCGGCTCCGCCGAGTACATGGCCCCGGAGGTGGTGGAAGCCTTCAACGAGGAGGCGTCCATCTACGACAAGCGCTGCGACCTGTGGAGCCTGGGCGTCATCCTGTACATCATGCTGAGCGGGTACCCCCCCTTCGTGGGCCACTGTGGCTCCGACTGCGGCTGGGACCGGGGCGAGGCGTGCCACACCTGCCAGGTGCGCGGGGGACCCTGGCATCGCCGAAACCCGCCGCCGCTTTGGCAGCACCGCTCCTGGCTCAGCCCCTTTTTTATTTCTTTCTCCCCCCAGAACATGCTCTTCGAGAGCATCCAGGAGGGGAAGTACGAGTTTCCCGACAAGGACTGGGCACACATCTCCTTCGGAGCCAAAGACCTCATTTCCAAGCTGCTGGTGAGAGATGCCAAGAAGCGGCTCAGCGCGGCCCAGGTCCTGGAGCACCCCTGGGTGCAGGGGGTGAGTGCTGCTGCCCCCCCCTCCATCCTCTGCTCCCAAAAGCCGGGGTAGGGGACACCCCGCTGCGGGGTGCCCAGCTCTGACCAGCTGCGTTTCGTTGCAGTGCGCCCCGGATAACACCCTGCCGACCCCCATCATCCTGCAGAGGTGAGCGCGGGTGGCCCTGGCATGGGGGTGGGGATGCCCCCCCCGAACCCCGCCGCCGCTTTGGCAGCACCGCTCCTGGCTCAGCCCCTTTTTTATTTCTTTCTCCCCCCAGAACATGCTCTTCGAGAGCATCCAGGAGGGGAAGTACGAGTTTCCCGACAAGGACTGGGCACACATCTCCTTCGGAGCCAAAGACCTCATTTCCAAGCTGCTGGTGAGAGATGCCAAGAAGCGGCTCAGCGCGGCCCAGGTCCTGGAGCACCCCTGGGTGCAGGGGGTGAGTGCTGCTGCCCCCCCCTCCATCCTCTGCTCCCAAAAGCCGGGGTAGGGGACACCCCGCTGCGGGGTGCCCAGCTCTGACCAGCTGCGTTTCGTTGCAGTGCGCCCCGGATAACACCCTGCCGACCCCCATCATCCTGCAGAGGTGAGCGCGGGTGGCCCTGGCATGGGGGTGGGGATACATCCCAGCCCCCCGAATCCTGGCTCCTCTCCGCAGCGGGCTGCTGTCCACTCTTGCCGCTTTTCGGGGCGCTCTGTCTGGGCAGCAGTTGCAGCACGTGATTGGGGTTCGAGCTGTGGTTTTGGTGCCTGAGCTGTCCGTCGTGGCGTGCACGCAAAGGGGGGACACCCCGATATTTGACCCCAACCTCCCTCCAGCCCCCCACATCCCCACCCTGAGCCCTTGCCTCCCCCGCAGGAACAGCAGTGCCAAAGAGCTCACCTCCTTCGCCGCCGAGGCCATCGCCGTCAACCGCCAGCTGACACGGCGCGACGAGGATGAGGAGGAGGAGGCGGAGGAGGAAGCACGACCCATCATCATCAAAGCTACCTCACGGGCCATGCAGCTCTCCCCCCCCTCCGAGTCCAAGCTGGCCAAGCGACGGCAGAAGAGCAGCCTGGCCAAGGCGGTGGCCGCCGGGCAGCACCTGGTGGCCCCGCTGGTCCTGGTGGCCGACCAAGCCTGAGCCGTGCCCCTCGGACCTGCTGTACCCCGTGTCCCCCTCCTCTTCCTTTCTTTCTTTCCCCCCCACCCCTAACCCCCCCCGTTTCTGGCTAGTGACAAGATCAGGACTCGTCCCTGTGGCTGGTTTCCAAGGTTTTGTTGATCTTGCAGGTCGGGGGGTGGGAGGGTTTGTTTAAGATCTTTTTTATTTTAAGGTATTAAATCAAGCGTGAGGTTGCTTCACCCAGGGCACACTCAAGGACATCTGACAGACACACGGACTTTTGTTTCCCGACTCTTGGTTTCTCCTCTGACATTTTTCTCCCCCTCCCCGACACCAAAGGACTCTTTGTATCCGCGGCTGCTTTGACGATTTCAGCTCATTTCATACTGTGAACAAAAGACCCTCGGTCGCGTTTTCAACAACGGGAGTCGCGTTTTAACCTCGTCCCTCCCCTCGGAGCTGCAGGTCTTTCTCCGATGTTGGGGCAGATCCCACAAAACACCCTTCCCGGGGGTCTGGGAGGCAGCTCCCGGGCGCGGGGAGCCCCTCCGTCCCGCGCTCGGGGGTGTCGACACCCCAGCTGCGCTTCGGAGGGATGCGGAGGGCATTGTGCAGGGAACCGCTCGGGCCGGGGAGAGATGGTGCCAGCGAGGGAGCAGTGCCCCGTCCCACTGAGCCGCCCTCTCTCCTCAGCAGCCTGCTTCCAGAATAAGCTATTCACCCCCCTTTTTTTTTTTCTTCTTTTTTTTTTTTTTTAATTATTGTTGGTTTTAAACTGCTAGCTGTGCTTCTCTACAGGGCACGGAGAAATGTCTTCCTATCCTCCCGCGCTCCAGCTGGCAGCTCCCCGGGCGTAAGGTCAGAGCCGGGGGATGCACAGGCGTCTGGGGCCGTGCTCTTGTGCCGGGTCGGGTGTTGCACCCCTGTTTTTGGAGGGGCTCCTTGCCAGTGGCTGTGCCCTTGTGGAGGTGCGAGGAGGGAATGAGGTCTCTAGGGTGGCTGGAGCAGCCAAAAAATATCCCTCTGGGAATAGCGGAGTGCTCTGGAAAGCAAAGGACCCCCACTTAAAGAGCGTTGGGACCTGCTGCAGGGCGGTGCGACCTGGCGTGGCTTTGGGCTGGCCCCGAGGCTGCCGTGGCAGGAGGGTCTGGGGGCACGGAGGGTGCCGAGTGCCCCAGCGATGCCGGTGGGCAAGTGGCTGGGCTGGTGGCAGCACCCAAGGGCCATGGTGCGGGGGAGCAGCCTGGGGAGGGCTCGGGATGTGGGGCTGGAGGGTTTGGGGTCAGGGCAGCAGCGCCGGGGGAGAGCTGGGCATGTGTGTTCACCCGTGTGCACGTGCGTCCGTGTTCATGCATGTGTGTGCATGGAGTTGCCCTTTCCTCCGAGCTTGCTTTGGGGAAGGGAGGGAAGGCAGGTGGGGGAAGGACTTGGGATGCTGAATCGGGACGAGGCCCTTGGCTGGTTTCTGCCACGCAGGGCTGGATCCGTCCAGGCGAGCGAGTGGTGCCCGTGCTCGGAGCCGGGCTGGTGTCCAGCTCCTCCAAACACCCCTGCACCAAGCCAGAGCAGCAAACCTCCGCTCCCTGCCGTGGCTCCTGCCGCCGAGCTGCGCCCGCTGCCGTCCCCACGGCCCACCGGGAGGGAGGGTGGGTGCCCCCTTCATTAGCAATCTCCTCTCCCTTCCAACCTAATGCTTTGAGCTTTATATTTTGAAAAAGCAGCCTCGGCCCATCGTGTGCACAGGTGAAGGCCTTGGGAGCTTGCTTTGAGCTGGGGAAGAGACTTCCCCGGGTCTTCAGCTGAAGACAGGCACCGTCTCCGAAAAAAAAAAAAAAAAAAAAAAAAAAAGTTTCCTTTTTTTTTTTAA